AAGGTCATTAAGGCCTTTTGGATACAATTATGGTGGAACTTACAGCAGATTTTTTAAAAAAGGATTATTTTTCTTCCACAGTTGTTTCTTTTAGGTATTGTGCAAGATTTAGATGCAAAAGAAATAAATTTGATGCTCTATTGTTTATCTGCTGCCAGATTGCTAATAGCCCAAAATTGGAAGAGTCCAATTCTGCCTATGATGGGAGACTGGAGATTGAAAGTTTCGTATCTTGCTGAAATGGCAAAGATTTCGGCTTACTTGAAGAACCATTCAAATGAACAATTTTTATCAATATGGAGAAGATGGATTGTTTATATTCAAAAGAAACATAGAGTGGTAGAATATAATTTAGGTTTTTAGATTTTTTTAAGTTTGTTTATTTCTATCCTTTCTGGTAGATTAAGATATTTTGAGGAGTTAGAGATATTAGTATTTGTTTACTTTTATATGAATATTATCCTGGGATTAGGTTTGGGAAGTCTGGGGGGGTTTTTTGATTGTTTATTGTGATTACTTATGATTGTTTTTTTTATGATGGAAAAATAAATAAAAATTTTTGGAAAAAAAAAAAAAAGATTATTGTGAACTCTGAGGTTAGAAATTGGCCCTGATCATTTTTTTTTAACTTTCAGCTGTGATTTGGTTTTTGTAATTGTCATCTCAATAAAGTCAAATAAAAATGTTAATCAAACTAATTAATGTAATTGCTATTTTAAGAGTGCTGACTACGCTGTAATGTGGTTTTAAGTGTTTAAGACATTTGGATTTGTAGCCTAGACATATTCTTGGATAGTGAAGAAGAATCTAATAAAAATTAAGCACCTGCTGTCTCTAGGTTTTTGCCAAATAACCATATAATTTCAAAACCATAAGAATGTAGTAATAAATCTGTTTCTTAACAGAATATTCATTAGAAGATTTGACCTGTTTTGTCAAGACAAAACAATTAAAAATAAAACTAATTAAAATCAATACTGCAAATTTACCAATAGAATAATGATGAATGGAAACCTTCCAGAAGTCAATGACAGATAAAGAATAGCATATTAATGATTTAAAATGTGAATGATAAACAGGTATTCATTATATAGATCAAGAATTTTAATTTGATGTACTTGGGAATGACAGTGGTCCCCAACCTTTCCACCTTGATGGCTTGTCCTAGCGCGGGGAGGGCCATGTGAGTGGTAGGCACACGTGCGCACGCACACAGCTCCATGTGAATGGAGCTTGTGCATGAGCAGAGGGAGCTTGACTAGTGCTCAAAGCTCCATTCACGCGAGTGGAGGACGTTTGAGCAGAGATCACTCATGTGGTCTGGTTAAAATAGGTCATGGACCGATAGTGGGTCGTGGCCTGGGGGTTGGGGACCTCTGCTCTATGACACAAAAAAATTAATTATACTAGGTTACCAGCCAATTGCTGCCTGTTCAGATGGCTGGTGGCTTTGCAGAGAATGGGTAGCCTTCCTTCCATCATATCTTATCCTGTTAAGTGGAGATCCCAGGAATGAACATGGAACATTTTGCACATAACAGAGTGGTTCTATCACAGGATTATTAAATCTATTTGGAAATCACCACTGATAATACAACCAACCATTCGACAAAACCAAATTATTCAGCCACATCAAATTTCTTAGCACAGAGCTCTCAAACTTAACATTTAATGTATCAAAACCTGTCCTTTTATTCTTATTCAACTTTCATTAAAGATGCAACATTTAATCAATGCAAGACAGAAAGCTACTTCTACTTAAATGAACAGAAGTTTCCCCCCCAAAAAACTATAAGTTTTAACATTAGTGCTTATAAATATTTATATGAGCACTATATTTCTATGAAAGTCTCTGGAGTCATTCCCTACAATTTCAATTCCAATAATTGCATTTATAACAGGTTCGGACTTGAAATCCAAGCATCTGAATGGAACTGGGATGGAAAGAAGCTTTTCTAAAGCAACATACGTACCTTATTCAGATATAAAGAAAGCAGACTCCTTTCTACAGAAATATTGTTTTTATTCATATGCAAACATCCATGTTATATATCATTATATCCATTTTTTCTTCCATTCAATCATGACCAACTCTTGGAGACTGCCTGGACAAGTTCTTACAGTTTTCTTGGCAAGGTTTTTCAGAAGTGGTTTGCTATTGCTTCCTTCCAGGGGCTCAAAAAAAATGACTAGCCCAAGGCAACTCAGCTGGCTTTGTGCCTAAGGCAGGACTAGAATTCAGAGTCTCCTGGTTTCTGGTCAGATTCTTTAACCACCATATCAAACTGGATCTATATATCCATTATATCCAATCCAAAATATCCCCAATGTTTGACCCTCATACAATGTGACATGGAGCTTCCGAAGTATCTTAGTATCCTATAGTTATTCTTTAAAGTCACCCATTGTTAGGAAAAAGGGCAGTTTAAGACTGGGACGAGCTCAGACAACTGCTAGGCTAAGATGCAGGAGGTAATTATACAAGTCTACCTGGGGTTTTTGTGCTGAACAGCACCCTCCCCCGTTTGCCTTTTTTCGGAATAGGAAAGCCATCCCCACATTTCTTTAAATGCAATCCAACAGACTTTCAACATTTCAAATGTACCCATTGGCCTCCCAATATTGGAGGTCTTTGGTTAGCTTTTTCGGAAAGAATTCTATGAACTCTGGAAAAGTTAATATTACAGCACTACTTTGGGTGAAGATATGGGGGGAAGATTTTAGCAATTACTTTTATAAATCTATAACTACTCTTCAATTAGTTCCCTAAAAATTCATAACAAAATCAATTAAAATATCCTTAACTGAAAGTTATTTGAAACTGAAATAAGAAATGCATCATACACACAAAGGTAAGGTCAGAGCAATATTTTAAAATAAATATAAATTTAATAGTCCACACTAATGAAAAGACTAAATTAAATCTAAATCACTTTTGTTTTTTATTATTACTCTATAAAAGAACAACAATGGAATCACATACAAAAAGTATGTTGATGAATGCATTTCTTGAAGGTCATTTTATATACCACATAAATGGGTATCTTTATTGAATTCCATGCATCTTGCATTTATATAACTAGAAAATGTGATAGTAAATACATATGTCTAAATTTAAACATGACAGTTTCTACAAAAATGTCCTGAAGTTTGCTTACCGGCACATGTGCGGTTGTCAGGTGTTAACTGAAAGCCAGCATTGCAATGGCAGTGGTAGGAACCAGGACTGTTCACACACCGATGATGGCAAAAGGAAGGGAACGTGCATTCATCAATGTCTATGTTGCCATTAGAACAGAAGTATTTTAAAAATAATTCCAAAAATGACATTACAAAAAAATGAACTGCCACATATAATCTTAATATCATAGGAATGTTGTACACATGGAACTGTCAAACAGCAATACCTGCAAACATCCCCTTTGGTGCCCATCAGTTTCTTTTATGTATTTTGCATGAAACCAAAATTTAATAGAAAAGTAGCATACTGCAAAGAAAAATATCAATGTGCAACACCATAATTAATTTTAAGAATACATCTGGCATTCTTAGTGGAGACTAATTTCCA